CCCACTCCCCTCTACAGTTTTCTCCCTCTTATGACCCCAAATCAACACTTGTTAACCATTTACTCTGTTGCTTCATCTTCATCCACTCTTGCTTCCCTGGGAAGCATGAAAGTCTGATCCCTTTGGTATGCAGCCCTTTGTCTTGTTGTTTTTTTTATCCTTATATATTCCATTTTGGTGTTTTATTTATTCTGGATCACTGAGAATAAAAACACGTCAAGGTTGTTATTAGCTGTCTCCTGGCAACACCACTCAATAGTATTTTTGCTATCCATTGGGGTTTTCATGGGCTATTTTTTGGGAAGTGGATCACCAGGTGTTTCTTCCATTTGTAAGCTCTACTGAACCCTGTGGAACATGCTAGCAACACGCAATCCGCCACTGACAGATGGGGGACAGGGGTGCTTGAGGTGCATTTTAGAAAATACAAAAATCAAAGAGGGGGAAAAAACTGACAATACAAGAAATAGAATGTTTTTTAAAGCGGCAAGCTGCCTAGCTTTTTAAATATTGGAAACAATGAAAGTAAACAGACTTATATTGAACATGACCCACCCACATTAGACACCCAAGAACAGGAGACTACAAATTGTTTTTTTGTTTTAAAGATCATTTTATTGGGGCTCTTACAGCTCTTATAACAATCCATACATCAGTTGTATGAAGCATATTTGTACAAATGTTTTTTTCTCTTTTTAAAAAAAATAAATCATTTTATTGGGAACTGACAGCTCTTATAATAATCCATACATCAATTGTATCAAGCACATTTGTACATATGTTGCCATCATCATTTCCCAAACATTTTCTTTCAACGTGAGCCTTTGGTACCATCTTACAAATTCTATATTAAATGGAGGCTAAATATCAGATCAATACAATAAAAACAAACAAGAAACTCATTCTCTCCTAATCTACAAAAAGAAAATCTCTGCTATTTCTGATTCTCCCTCTTAAGTGATTCTCTTGTCTGGTTCTTCCTGCCCATCCCTTCATTTGCTGAAATAAAATAGTTCATAATGAAAAGGGGCTTTCAGTTGGTTTTCTTTTCTCTGGTCTCTTGCTTTATGATGCATCCTATATATGAGCTAAATTATCTTTTAGGCATACATTTGGTTATGCCCTTTCTCTAAGCTAATAACCAATCAGCACTGAAAACACTGAATACCAACCAGAGACCACCACATTCAACCACCTCTCAGCTACTATGTCTTTCCTCTCATAACCAAGAATTCATTATACCCATACATTTCCAGTGTTTCCATTGCTCTTTGCTGTTTCCACAGCCAAAATGCTTGCCTCTCTTTTCTGTAGCACAAAAATTTATGCATCCTTTTAGGTCTTTATTATGTCAATCATAAAAACCCCAAACTCACTGCTATCAAATTGATACCAACTCATAGCAACCTTATAAGACAGTAGAACCGCCCCTCTGAGTTTCTGAGGCTTTAATTCTCAATCATGCCTTCTTAAAATCACTCTCCCAAGTAGAATTCATTACCATCTTAGCTCATCAGATACATCAATTGGAAAACTAATCACATCCAGAGCTACTTTTAAACATAGTTATCTATCCCCAGTTGGGAGTACCATAAGTAATGATTCTCTGATAAGTCTTTTACATCACCAGAACCAGGTAAGATGTCAAGCACAAAGTAAGTGGAGAGAAAATGAATGAATAAGCAGTAAGTAACTGCGTTCTGTTATAGTACATTCCTTATTAGTTACTTATGATTGGCAGAAAGCAACTGAATAGTTATTTCAAATTATGTATTCTTGATGGAAAGGAACCCAGGGACACAATAGTTAAGCTATTAACTATTAACTTACTCTTAACCTTACAGTTAATGGTTCAAACCCACCATCCGGGAGTTCTTTGGGAGAAAGACCTGCCCACTTGCTCCTATGAAAGGTCACAGCCAAGGGAGTGGGGAAGGGAATACTAGAATGGATTGTGATTGCACAGCTCATTTAAAGGCGATTTCAAATGCCCACAGGGGGGGTGGTGGGGTAGGGATAGATATCCTAAAATTGATGTGGTGATGATTGTACAATTCTCCTTGATATGACGGAACGGCAGAACCATTGAATTGTATGAGATGTAAATTATGTGCCAATAAAATTGTTGGGGGCAGGGGCGGGGAGAGAAATACAAATGAAACTTAAAGAAAATTATAGCCAAGAAAATCCTATGGGGAGAGTACCATTCATTCCATGATGCAGGGACACTAAGAGTCAGGATCAACTAGAGGGTACCCAACAACAAACATGTATGTTTTCTAGTGGGATAGCAAAGAGAAAAGCCCTTATACAATGATAACCACCACTGAAGATGCACGTTCTATCAAATGTGCCAGCAGTTCAGTCTACGATTTGGATGAAACAGAACCATCAGAACATTAAAATAAAAGCAGCTTTGAATTTTTGGTATGTCTAGTATTAACTCACTGCCAGAGTTGAGGCCAACTCATAGTGACCCTACAAGGACAAGGAAGAATTGCCCTTGTGAATTTTTTATGGGAGTAGAGACTCCCATCTTTCTCCTGAGGAGCATCCGGTGATTTTGAACTGCTGACCTTGAGGTTGCAGCCAAGTATGGTAATGACTATGCCAACAGGGCTCCTATACATCTCATAGAAAGGCCTTCTTTTGCAGATTTGAAAAATTAGTGTAAGACCTCAAACAGTTAAATGACTTGCCCCAAACCTTACATATCCCCCAACTTCCAGTTAAATGCAATTGCAAAAGGGGAGAAAAGAGTTGAGGAAAAATAATTAAACCATAAATGTACCTGCTACTTCAAATCCTGAGAGAAAAAGAAGATAACGCCAGGAATGAAAGTCAAGGACACTTACTAGTAGGTTTACAGCAGGGTGTGTGAAACTTACTCTGTTGGACTCATCGGCATCCTCTTCATTGATGGAGCTGGAAGGGGAGGGCGTTGCCGATTTACTTGCTGGAGGTGAAGGAGATGTGTGGGGCATACTGGCACCTCCCAAATTCAACCCCAGCTGGGTACTGAGCTGAGACTGGTTGATGGTAGTGAGCTGAGCAGGGGGCATGATCCCGGAGCGAGCAGCATCAGTCATGTGGACGATGGACCTCATGATCAGTGAAGGATCTTGGCGGTACTGTGAAACTGGTGTGTGGCTCTGGTCCTTCAAAATCAAGTGAGAGGGAAAGGGTTTTATTTCACAACAGTGTTAATGAACTTAGGTTAGTAAATCCCTAGAGAGGCTTGCTACCCCCTGTCCAGGTCGCCTCCTACTATGGTGCCTTGTGTGTTGTGACACTGGAAGCTCTGCCATCAGAATTTCAAATGTCAAAAAACAGAGTCACCCTTGGGTGACAGGTTTCCATGGTATTTTCTTATTAAGCTAGAAAGAAAGGCCTGGGGACCGGCTTCTCCAAATTAGCCAGTGAAAGCCTATGGTTCACAACAGAGTAGGATCCATGTGATCAGGTGTATGGGGGTCACCATGAGTCCAAGCCACTCACAAGCAATTACCAAAAACTATGGGCTGATGTTTTGCAAGTTGACAGATGCTAGCTCCTGCAGATAATGATTTTAAGTACAAGGACTCATGCTAAGCATTTGAAGACTCTGCAGCACAAGACCCAAGTGCCCCGCCTGGCTTAGTGTATATAGAATTGATGGCTTTTACAAAGATTACTGGCAAAGGGAAGTGAACTTTTCAACGTTTGCTTCTTATTGAGAAGAGTCAGACTCACCAACCGGTGTAACCTACTACTGGTTTGTACACATCCTCACAACTAGACCCAATAAGCAACACCATGTTCAACAGTTAAGACTGTCATTGTCAAGCGTTTAGTTTGACTTGGATCCACAATCAACACACCTGGAAGCAGCAGTCAAGAAATCAAGTGGCATATCGCACAGGGCAAATATACCACAAAAGACGTCTTTAAAGTGTTAAAACTCAAAGATGCCATGTGGAGTACCAAGTCATGCTACTTTCAATCACGTCCTATGCATGTGAAAGCTGGGTAGTGAATAAGGATGACTGAAGAACGAATGATGCATCTGAATTATGCGATTGGTGAAAACACACAAAGGACCGTGGATGGTCGGAAAAGCAAAGAGATCCATTAGGGAGGAAGCACCGTCAGAATGCTCCTCAGAAAAAAAATGACAGCAAGACTTTGTCTCACAGACTTTGGACACATGCTCCGGAGAGACCAGTCCCTGGAGAAGGGACTTCATGCTTTCTGGAGCAGAAGAAAAGCAATAGAGGAAGACCCTCAACGCAGCACCTGCATTAGGTTCAAACAATTAGGAAGATGGCTGCCGGGCTGTCAGTGTTTCTTTCTGTCGTAGCAGGACTGCCATGAGTCGGAACTGACCCAATGGCCCCCAACAACAACAACCATTTCTGCCGCTCTGTGAGAGGAGAATCCATTCTTTATATTATCCTTCCAGGAGTGCACAAGACATGCAGGGAGGATGGGCCAGAGAAGCACCGAGCTTGGATTTCAGCGAGCAAACATCTGTATGCTTTAGGGCACCCTTGCTGTTAAATCCTCTGTGGTTAACCAGAGGGTTATTTTGTTTCTGAATTATATTTTCAACAGCATCTGGAACTCATTCAACGTCTTTTGGATGGATACCATTTTTTTCCTCATCTTAAACCTGTGTTGTTTTCGTTTGTTTAATATACCACAATTTAAAGTACTAATGGACTTTAAAAATATCTATATAAAGATGAGGTAGATATATTCAAAATTAGCTTTCAGTAAAAGGTATTTATACAGTTATACCCATAAATAGCATTCTCTGTATTGGGTTGTCAAATAAAGGGCTTTAAGTGGTTGCTGCTGCTTCTTGTTTTAATTCCAAAATATAAAAAATGAAGATATGATTTCAAATGACCTAAAGACTTGTCATTGAGAATGAGCCAGTGATTTTATTGAAACAAAATTCTCTTATCTCACAGTGACCCAGAATCTAGTTTCATACACAAGTCTATGAATTCTTAACTGTTCTCCTTTTGAGTCTTTCTTAAAAGGCCTATTTTGTTCTTTAAAAAAATGAATTTTAAACTAAATGAGGAACTTTGCTCCTAAATACTGAATATATGAAGACTACTAAATAAGAATCTATAGCTATCAATAGGAAATTAATTGAATAAATTAGTATCTACCCATACTACAAAGTATTATGGGGCTCCAAAAATAATGGATTTGATGACCTCAAAGCAGGATTTCTTCATTTTGGTTCTACGGACATTTTGTGCCAGATAATTCTTTGCAGTGGCTGGGCTTTCCCGGGCTTTTCAGGATGTTTAGTAACATCCCTGGCCTCACCCCACACTAAACACCGGCAGTACCCCGGCTGCTACATAGGTCCTGGCAATCTAAAGGTCTCCAGATATTGTCAAATAGCCCTTGTGGGGCCAAACTGCTAGCTGAAAAATACGAACCTCGAGTGATGTCATGACGCAGTAGTTTAAAAAAAAAAAAAAGCAAGTTGCAAAATCATTATGGAGTAAACCTTTTTCATTCAAAATTGAAAAAATAACTGGGAACAGGACTTCCTGGGTAGTGCAAAGGGTTTAGGTACACTCGACTCCTAAACTCAGGTGGAAGGTCTGAGTTCAGAGGCACCTCAGAAGAAAAGGCTGGCAAATTACTGGCCCCCCAAATTCTGCCAATGTAAACTCTACACATTTCAAAATAAACAGAATCACCATGAGCCAGCACGTCTCCCCACAAAAGACAGGAGGCTGTGGCCATAGTGTGGAAGGACCCGTGGAGAGGAGAGTTTTAACTTTTCCATTTAATCTGCATGCTATTTTTACAAGATCGAGCAAAACACAACATAACATGAAGCCAAAAACGGACACTTCTGTCAGAAGAAAACTAAAAAGAAACAGTTCAAACACTTTGGAGACCGGCTAAGGCTTCTTTTTCCTTCCTTGGTAATGTTTCAGATGTTCTAGAGAAAGGAGTACCCCATCAAAGGCGCCCGCTCGTCCTTGTCTCACTTTTGGGAGGCATCCTTTCGCAGACATGTATCGCAGAGTGGTTTCTCTGCTCTCAAGTTGGGTCTACATGTTTTGGTTTGATATTGTACCACATTTACCCATACAATACAAAAAGTCAAATACTCCTTAGAAATCCAATCCTGCTCTTAGCCACATCACTTCCAGTCACCAACAATCGGCCGGGAAGCAGTTTATCTTGTTCAAAAAGTATCCAGAAACCTTTCTAAAGCTCTTCAAGCGTTTTAAAATCAAGATGTTTGAACTCATCTACAAGCGATTTCCAGAGCCTGCTTAAGTCGGATATTTTAATTTTGACTGTATAAGAATGAATCAATCAACTTGAATGGCCATGAAATGCGATCATCTGAAATGTGTACAACTTTATCATTTCTAGAAGTGTGACTTTGCTGTTTTCACTCCACTGCCCAGAAAATCAGCATCTCTAGAGGCCTGATCAATTCATCCCACATCTCCAGCATTTCACATGATAACATCAAACAAAAGGCCACAAAGCAAAGCTTCTTAGATTCATTACCTGAATCCCACCTGAAATGTATGCTTTGTTATAGACTTAGTTGCCTATGAGCTCTTACTGACTTATAGCCAAGTTTCACTGTACTGAACAATAACATGTATTGTGTTGTTCATTAATAGCTGGGTTATATTTTAAACTACTAGCCAAAAGTTGGTGATTCAAACCCACCCAGGGGCATTTTGGGAGACAGGCCTGAGACTGGACTTCCCGATGAGTTGGAAACAACTCAGTGGTAACAGTTTTGGGTTTGGGTATTATAATTTTCATAATAATTGCCACCGAGTCAGTTCCAACTCACAGTTCCCCTATAGGACAGCATCTAACTTGCTCCCTAGGGTGTTGGAGATGGGAAGCCTTACAGAGAGCAGATAGCTTCCTCTTTCTCCCAAGGATCATCTGGTAGGTTTGAATCGCTGACCGTGCATTAGCAGCCCAACATGTAACTTATGACATACCAACCCCCCCCAAAAACCCCAAACTCTGTCATTGAGTCAATGCTGACTCAGTGAGCTCTTGTGGGTTTCTGAGACTGTAACTGTTTAAAGGAATAGAAAGCCTAGTCTTTCTCCCAAGGAGCTGCTGGTGGTTTTGAACTGCTGATAATGATGATCAGAGCCTAATGTGTAGCCACTATACAACCAGGCCACTAGATTGTAATTCCACTATGGAAAAACTTGTTCGAAGGAGATATGGAGCTTCAGTGGTAGGGGCACGTACTAGGACACAGAGAAACAGATGTATAGAGATGAGAACAGGGCTCTAGGTTCTCCATCACCAATAGCTCCCTTTGGTGAGTTTCGTTAAAGTTTGTTTCACTAAAACATTAGGGAACAACCTGTAACCACTGCTGAAAAGTATTGGTAGTTACCACCAGGCAATGCCTGGCCAAAACATAGTTATTTGCAACAGGTTCAAAAAGACCTTGGGAAATCCTGCTCATCTCCCACAGACCAATATGCAAAAAAACTCGTAGGATTTTTTCAAGTAACTTCAGAACTATATACTATATAACCTATGCATCAAAATGTGCTGGTATTGACTATGGTCCCCTTATCCCACAATAACTTCTTATGCATGAGGATTATGGCATAAGATTAACGGACAGAGTGTGTCTTTAGATATTCAAATTCCTTTAGGGGCATCATTTATAAACAACTCCATTGGGAAACTTGAGGTCCTTAATTGTTAGAATCATATGTGTGTGTGCACATGTGTGTTTTTAAAGACTCTTCTTTTGATCTTAGAGAGAAAGTTGTAACTCACTGGATCAACTTAAAAACATTTAAGTGACTACTATGCACCAGATCATAGAGATAATGGATAACAATAGTTAGATCTTTGACTATTAGAAATTCACCATTTGATTTCTTTTAAACCCTATTCTAACTGAACAAAATTTAGGATATAGTAATAAATTTACCATACAGACATCTATAAACAGTTCATAAAATGTTGGCACAATAAGGAAAGTTATATTCATGATATAGTTAATGTGTGTGCTTAGTTTTTGTAAATCATCACCTCTGCCTTATTAAAACTACATTTAAATATATTTAGTAACAATCCCTGAAAGGTAATTTGTCTTGCTCCCTCTAGGTATGGAGAGAAAAACCATTGC